GAGTTGACAACTAAAAAAGCGTGCTGTAGGCTTTTATTGCCTGAAGGCACCATATTTCGGCTTTTTTCTCATGCCAGATTTTACGGCTGCGGTGCTTCTGGTTATTTTTTACAGCGCATGCGCTAAATTCTATGTTCTTTTGTGGCAGTTTCATTTCGACACTCTGATCCCTACTTTTTCTGGGCACTTGTAATGTTGTCCGGCCCAGAAATCAAACAAATCAGCACTTGGTTACGCCACTAAGCTTGTTGTTGTTGTTGTTATTAGTGCTGCCACTATTGTTGTTGCTTTTCCGACCACATTTTTTTCTAAACGACAGGAAATGTGCATTTATTCTTGCATTTCTCCAGACGAACGATGATTATACCATTTGTTATCGCCTCTGATGTGTGACTCTCTTCAGCCCATCCCCATCTCAGTTTACTTGGTGATCTCTATCAGAAGACTTTCTGCCCGGTACGAATGACGAAAAGAGGAGGATTGTTACTGTGGAAACAAAATCCGATTGCTCATAACTCTTTATAAAATAAAAGGAAGAAATTTGTTTTGCTTATTCCCAATTGGCGCCTGCCCATCCTATACTTTTAGCCAAGATAGCCTGTGCTGTTTGAAAACCGACTGCTTCCAGTCAGCGAAATTTCGAAGTGAGGCAAATAGCCCCGCTAGAAACAAAAGGAAGGGGCCTTCTCTCAGTTTGTAATTCTGAAAAAGATGTTGAATAAGTATTCATTTTTCTTCAGTCGGCCTTCCCTCTTCTTCCAGGACTCGACTGGTGTGGCTACACTGGAATTTTCATTTATTTTTCTTTATACTTCTATTCCACCAAAAAATGTTTATTTCTTGTCTTCAGTGTCTTTAGATTTGGCGGCTTTTTGATCAAAAATAATTCATGTGCGATTTTTTCGTGATAGCAGCCCCATATTGGGTAGTAAACAAATAAATTCATTTAGGCATGACAGGCCTGGACAGACAGCTTCTTTTCTGACCGGTGCCTGCGGGTACAGAGATTT